TTAATGTTAATTTAATGAAGTTATCAAGTTTTTTTCTATTCTAAAATATTGGTACTTTAAAGGAGACATGAGTACATTAAAACAGGGTTATGCGAACTAGCATTTAGACAAAAAAGGTTAGATTTGTGCTGGCTGTATCCTGGGATTGTGTATTTAAATTTCATCATCCATTTTTGCAGTTTGTGAAGTTACTTTCTTATATACTGTAATACTGTAACATTATGTGATTCTGACATTATTGGATTTCAGGCACAACAAGAAACTCTCTGAACCAGCCTAATGTGTGGCTCACCATATTCCTGACATTCGTTCTCTGTATCCTGCCTGTTGTTGCTTTCCGCTTCATATTTATACAGCTTCGTCCTACCATTAATGATAAGGTAAAAAAACACTTGGGGCAGCATGTAAAAGCATCTTGTCTTCTATTAACCCTTTTGTCTTGTACACCAGAAAGTAGCGTATCCATAGTGAAAAGTCTACATTAAAAAAAAATTAAAATCCCTTGTTTCTTTTTTCTAGGTGAGGTATAAGATGCGTACAGAGGAGTTGCCTGTACCGGCACCTCGTCGCTTACGGAGAAGGCGTAGTACTCGGTCAGGTTACGCCTTCTCTCACTCCCAGGGCTACGGTGATCTAGTAACATCTAGAAAATTCCTGATGAAACGCTCCACCAAGAGAGCTCCTCTGTTCACCCAGACAGACTCTTCCATATTTCAAAATCAGCCACAGCACTACCGCACTATTGCTGAGGAAGCTGAGGAGTCACAGGGTCACAGTCCCTAAAACCGAAGCAGACAGGGACTGAAACACAGACAGTATTTTATTTTCCTAACACTGGAGTCAACCTGGCACTGAAGAAAAGATGGTGTCTTATAATGTGTGAATGTTGATATCTCTGTGAAAATGTTGTTTGCCTCAGAATGGTTGTTTTTATTTTTGTACTTATTAAGTACAATTTTCATATTGTGCAACTTGAATTATTACTGGCCAGTTTCTAAAGCACACTTGAAGATTTTGCAAAGATGTTCTACCCTGGTTTTAGTTAATTTCATTACAAATACAATTGGCTTGTGGATTAGGATTAAAAAAGGTAGATGTAGTTTGTTTTGTTTAGTTTTTTCTTAGTTTTGAAATAGGTTTTCAAACTAGATAGCTGAGAAATGACAAATATAGGAAGTTTTATTGATTTTTAATACAAAGTATATACTAAAAAGGTGTGTGTAGGCAGTGATCTTGAATACTGTACTATACATTATATATAGTTTAGTATAGTTTATACACTGTAGTTATTTACATGAGGATTATTATTATACTGTGTTAATAATTTAACATTCAGTCCTTCATGAATGTATAACTTAACCTGGCACCACTACAGTCACATTGTTCACAGCGGACAGCCAGTTATTAGTCTTATCTCTGTAACTGTTTTTTTTTTTTTGCCTTTTCATAACCTTATTTTTAAAAGAGAAAACCAGAATAAAATGTGTTTAAATATTTAGCAAGGAACTGAATTCTGGAAGAGGGGATTGGTATAAAAAGCAGATATCTAATTTTCTAATCCAGGCTTCAAGCAGATGTGGATTATAGTCAATAACAGTTGTTAAATCATTGGACCATGGTTCAGGATGGCTGTATTAATTTTCTTCATCATGTTAAGACTTTGCTCAGACTCTCTGAGTAATAAATTGCTTTTTCTAGTTCCAGCTGATCATCAGCAGTCAGTTGAGCTGTAATTTATTTGTTTATGGAAAAACACAGTAGTGTATGTGTGAGCTTCCTCTTTGTTGACACTCTACACAGTAAAAGCAGTTAATGACACACAAGGATTGTGAACTCTGAACTCATACACTGTTTTCACACTGTGTTGATTAATAAAGCCCTTCAAAATTGACTCTTTCACTTTGCTGTCTTTTATTGACTTAATCAATCGAGACCAAAACATTTCCGCAGCTGGAGATGTTGAAAATGTTGTTATAGTTCCTGACTGTATCCCTCAACAGGCCAAGGTTTCCTTTCATCGGTTACATGAATTTGACAACAGCTTTATTTCACTAGTTTCTCGACTTTTTGTTGAGCTTATTTATTTACTTCTATCTGTCCCATCCTGCTGAATTTACTTATGTGTACTTCAGTCACACACTATGCAATGAATAATTAATTCTGTTTCAAAGACAACATGAACCAAGACAGAAATTCTTTGAAATAAATGTGTGGTTTTATCAACTTATCAGGAAGTGTTGAATCACAAAGCTCAGACTTGTGGATCAATCTGTTTTCATTGTTGCATTGTATCTACACATTTAGACCAGATTAGAACAGTTGATGCCCTCAGTAAAAGAACTGGTCCCTCAGTTTTATTCTCATTACTGCTCACTGTGGATAATGCCTCAGCAGTTCCTCGACTTCTAATGGGACACAGACCAGATGCCTTCTTTGTTAAGGATCAGCAAGCTCCAAGTTGGTGGCAATTAAAAGTATGCTTATCAAAACTGAAGCTCTGTCAAATGATAAAGAAGTTTAAAAAGAGGTGTAAGGATGTGGTCTTTATATGTATAAATTAGAGGAAAATGTTTGAATTTAGTTGTTATCTCATATTTTTCCAGATTTTGCCACAAACATTCAAAAAATGGACTTGTTGCTGATGTGTGGATGTAAAGTTATGTAGTATGAAAAGTATGTATGATAATAGGTTAGTTTGTTCATAGCACTAGGTGTTTATATCCCTTTGTTGCATGTGAGAAATCTGCAGCTTAAACTCTATGGAGCAGTCCGCTTGTGACACTTTTCTGGGTTGTCGAGTGGGTGCAAGGGAATCCCTTCTTCAAGATTTCACTGATAGGCACACAGTATCTCCAGAACGTTCCAGACATCCGGCAAATGTTATGCTCTTTTCACAGTTGAGGCCCAATTAGAGTTCTTTTTTTTTTTTGAGTCAGAGCCACTGACTAACATTCCCACTCCCAGAAAAGCTCTGATGACATGTGTACAAATCCTCTGCAGCTTATTTTGACTGTATAGTTGGATCTTCAATTTCTAGGTGCACTGTTGTACATCGGCTGTGAATTCTGCATCCTCACCTGTGACTGTAAGGTCGATAATGTAAACAAGCTGGAATGATGCCGACCATAGCACAATGGTTCTCAGTTTACTAGTCATATCCGCTTTGAGAGAGGCTGGTCTGGGAATCCACCAAAATGTGTGGGTAGACACTGGACATTGGGCAGGGCAAGCATGTGGGATCTTCTCCACACCACTGGCAACATTTTTTGGAAGACAAGAAGACTTCCAACATATATATATATATATATATATCTATATATATATCTATATATATCTATATATCTATATATATATCTATATATCTATCTCTCTATATATCTATATATATATATATCTATATATATATCTATATATATATATATATATATATATATATCTATATATATATATATATATATAACCCATGTACCGTATAGATTTTATATACCTTCATGTGATAAGATTCCCTCTGATTGGCTGGAGCACTTCGGCTTTACTATTGTTTTAGTGCCTTTCCCGTCCTGCACCTGCTCAAGTCCAACGAACACTGAACGGTTTACATAACCTCTTAGCAGTTAGTTTCATGTGCCCAAAACTTCTACTGTAGGTGCAACTACAACATCTCACCTGTTGTTCCTGTTGACTTTTATCCTGCTAGAAGACTCAGTTGATCCTCCTTTCTCTTTTTAGGATTAAACTGGCCTTCCATGCACTGAAGAGACAAAAACCTGGATTTATTTTTTCAAAGACGGAAGTAAAAGGAGGGTTGAAATCTTAAAATTCAAGCACCTGTGTCTGCTTGCAAGCAGGACCCAGAAGACAAAAGAAATCATATTTTTGTTTGAGGTATGTGGTTGATTTTCATTCGCTTTCAGACTTTAAAAAACTATTAGAAAATGCTGCATTTTATTAGTTCTTATCAAGAACCATTTAAATCACTTTAGGTTTACAGTAATTCAGACCTATTTAATATTTTTGCAAGTGGAAGAAGAAGGATCAAATGAAACCTGCCAAAAGAGGGCTTCTTGATTTTTTCATGGCTCATGGATAAATTTGTTTTTTCTTCTTAACAAATTAGGTAGCACAATTAGGTATTGCCCTGTGATCAATTCATATTTTTTATGTCTCACTGAAAAACATTTATCCACAACAATTCCTGAAAAATACAATACCTGCATATTATTATGGGCTGATTACTGAACAAGTCAAATGGTCAAGGATGAATCTTTATCTCTATCTGTGTAGTTAGGGATTGTTACCTCTTAAATTTAACTATACTACAAAGAGTTGAAAGGGAGTTGCACTATATCTTTATAGCTTTGGAGAACTGATAAAATGGGGAGGAGTGGAAATTTTGACAAGTATGTGACTGATGGCTATCTATCTATAGATTGATGGAGAGATATTTTGAGTGTTGTGAAACCTCAGATTTATTATTTTTGGGATGTTTTGCATCTGTCTTTCCCTCATATCCAATTTACGAGGTGTGCTGTACATCTTAAACAGCTCCACCTTTTCACTATTAATCCTTAAATATTATAGCAACTGGTTCCCTCTCGCTTTTGCCACAGTTTCCCCTTTTGGTTTTTATATCCATTGGGTGACCGTGGTTCAGGGGCTTGGGAAGCTCATCTTGTAACCGGAAGGTTGCCGGTTCGATCCCCAGCTCTGTCTGTCTTGGTTGTTGTGTCCTTGGCAAGACACTTCACCTCCTAGTGATGGCCAGAGGGGCCAATGGCGTGATATGGCAGCCTTGCTTCTGTGAGTTTGCCCCAGGGCAGCTGTGGCTACAACTGTGGTTTGCCTCCAACAGTGAGAGTGAGTGAATAGTGGAAATATAAAGTGCTTTGAGGGTCTCGAAAAGCGCTATATAAATGCACTCTATTATTATATCGACATATAATACCAATAAAGAAATGACTCACTAATTAGGACTGAAATGTGTGTTTTTCCAGGTTATAAAACATGGAGAACATGAGTTAAAGATGGGAACTGTGCTGTCATACTTTTGCCATTTGTGTGGACACGGAAATAAGGAAGGTGAGATTAGATGCACGTAAACTTTGCTCTAGTTTACTGCATTGTTCAGTTACTGTATGGCTGTCTCAGTTTTAGTTTTATTTATTTATTTTTGTGGCAAGCAGTGAACATTTCAAAATGCTGCTGGACTAACAGCTCTGAAATGTTTCCATAAATTTAATTTGAGTTTCTTTCCTCAGTACTGCTGTAACATACAGTAGCATAAACTCTCTCCTGCTCTGACTGCTTTACTCTCTCACAGAGAAGGAGAGATGCTTGCGGGCTAATGACAGCACTTTCAACCTATCTTTCCGCTATGCTGTAAGTATATAGACAAATGTTATCATGCCTATTCAGCAGATGACAAGAGAAGCTTTGGACACACCCTCAGCTCAATGCTTTGCTTGTTTGGATTTGATTACTCTGTCACAATGAAAGTCAAGTGTCACAAAGACCATTTTTGAGTAAATAGGAAATTTTAGGAAATTAATAGTGCAATCCTAGAAATCTTAAGATTTTTTGTTAGTATGTCTGCCAAATATAAATTAAACATTAAAAAACTTTATTACAAACATTTAAATATTAAATCACAGTGATTTTTGTTAAACTGACATCAGTCGTGTAACTTTCCTCTGTCGATTTCTTTAACTTCAGAACAATGCCATCAAGACCTCCAAATACAACATCTTCACCTTCCTGCCACTTAATCTTTTTGAGCAGTTCAAGAGGCTCGCTAATGCCTACTTCCTCTTCCTGCTCATCCTTCAGGTAGACATGTTGCCATTCTTGTCAGAATAATTGCATGCTTAAAAATAGTTATTTTATGCTGCAGATAGTTATGTCAATGCAAAAACCGCATTCAGAGTTCATTCTCTATATTCAACCATACCTTTTTCAAACTTCATTTGACTTAAAATGTGAAAGGACTTGCACTTTCTTTTGCTTTTTTATAAATCGATTTTTTTAAAATGCTTTTTCCAAATGTTATTAAGCGTGAACATACATGACATACATAAATAAAATGAAGCAACTGTTAAGTTTTTCACTTTTAAGAATCTTAAAAGATATTATCTATGCTGTTCACCCTCTGTATGGACACCGCGACAGCTGGTCTGCAATCACCACATCCATGGAGCCTACTGTATGCAGATGATGTATGTCTATCAGAAACAAAAAACTGCCTAGCCCTGCAAACCTGAACACAAGCATGGAAAGATTGGCTCTCTGAAAACGGCATGTGCCTGAACATCAAGAAGACTGAGTACCTTGAACGCGGCCCCCAGACCAACAGTACCATCACTATCAACGGCGAGCTGCTGACTAAAGTTGCCCAATTCAAGTACCTTGGGTCCCTTGTCACCTCGGACTGCGAAACTCTACCAGACGCCAGACTCTGTGTCAACACAGCGTGGATGAAGTGGTGCCAGGTCAGATAAGTCTTGTGCAACAAGAGAATGCCAATCTATCTTAAGGCGAAAGTTTATAAGTCGATCGTGCGCCCAGTGGCACTCTATGGGTCAGAGTGCTGGCCAGCTACGACCAAGCACAAACAAGCCCTTCACACCATGGAGATGAAGATGCTGACATGGCCTCTGGGTCTCACACGACTAGACCGAGCGAGGAACAAAGACGTTAGGAAATGATGGGGAGTGACACCGATCACAGACAAGATGCGAGAGGCGAGGCTCCGATGGTACAGCCATGTTGCCCGTAGCGATAAGAACTCCATCGCAAAGACAGCCCAGCAATTAGGCCACGAAGAAGACCAAAAAAACGCTGGATGGACCGAATCAAAGACAATATGAAGGCTGCGAATGTTACACCAAAAGATGCCCTGGATAGGAAGAAGTGGAGGAAAGCATGAAAAACAGCAGACCCTGCATCGGGGGATATGAACTGCTAGGCAGAAGAAGAAGAAAAGATATTATCTATGCACTGAAAGAGTGTGTTAATCTTTGTGTGTGTGTGTGTGTTGACAGTTGATCCCACAAATCTCCTCTCTCTCATGGATTACTACAGGTTTCGCCTTAATAGTAGTGCTTTCTATAACAGCAGTCAAAGATGCCATTGATGACATAGTAAGTTGAAATCGGTAATAACAAAAGAGAAAACCAAAAATAAGAAACTAATATCAGATTTGGAAGCAAACAGTATCTTTTTCTTGTGTCAACTGAGCAGAACAGACACAAATGTGACGGACAAGTCAATAACCGGAAGGTGGACGTCCTCATGGATGGCCAGTAAGTCTTTGGAAACCCAAATGAAAAAGAAAAGAATACCTTTTGTATGAAGAATTATGCTGTTTTGGATTCATTTCTGTGTTGTATGCCTTTGTTCCCTTCCCTGACAGACTCAAAAATGAAAAATGGATGAATGTTCAGGTCGGGAACATAGTCAAACTGGAGAATAATGAGTTTGTCACAGTAAGTTTGGGGAGGCTATAGTAAAGATTTGAAGCAAGTGAAAGAAATTCATTTCAAAAGTAAGTTCCAAACTAAACTCAGTGCTTTTATTTCTTAGGCAGACCTTCTGTTGCTGTCTAGCAGTGAGCCCCTTAATTTAGTTTATGTGGAAACAGCTGAACTAGATGGGTAAGTGTGCTGTACTGTGTTGTTTGTATGCTAGGTTGACAACTAATGTCTGACATTGTCTTGGATTTTCCTTGGTCTCCCCCAGAGAAACCAATCTGAAGGTGAAACAGGCTCTGACTGTAACTGGAGAGCTGGGAGACAACATTGAGGCACTCGCTGCCTTTAATGGTGAGAATCTCAATGAAACAACACACAGTCTGATTTTCAAAAGTGAAACCTGGTTCTGTCATTGGGAAATGTCAGAGGGGACCAAAACTAATAAAGATTTTTTTTAGGTTGATAGGCCTTGGCTGAGTTAAGAATTAATGCAAGTACCAAAATAAATAATGAATAAATGCATAAATGCAAAAAAATAATTCTGGATACACTGATAGACAGAAATCCATATTCTATGTTTCTCACAGCCGTTGATGAAATTAAGTTTTTGAGATTGTCAACAAATGTAAAATCAGAAATCTTTGGATTGTAATGATATCGATATGATAGTGGTTAAAGGAGTAATTGAGGCTATTATAAAACCGTTTACATACATCTGTAATTTATCATTTCAAACTGGTCAATTTCCAGACAGAATGAAAATAGCAAAAGTTATACCTCTATACAAATCTGGAAACAAACACCATTTCACAAACTACAGGCCTGTCTCTTTACTACCTCAATTCTCATTCTTGAAAAACTGTTTAACAACCGACTGGGAAAATGTATAGATAAACATAAACGATTCACTGAGAGTCAGTACGGATTCAGATCAAGCAGATCAACATCATTGGCATTATTAGATTCAATAGAATACATCACAAATTCCATAGACAAAAAGCCATATGTGGCTGGGTTATTCATAGACTTGACAAAGGCATTTGACACAATAGATGATGATATATTAATAAGAAAACTGGAACGTTATTGTGTCTGAGGGGTAGTTTTAGATTGGGTCCGGAGTTATTTAGGTGACAGGAAGCAGTTTGTGAAATTAAATGGTGGTTGCTCCTTATGTATGGACATTGCTTGTGGTGTACCCCAAGGGTCAGTTTTGGGTCCAAAATTCTTCAACTTGTACATTAACGACATCTGTAAAGTGTCCAAAGTATTAAAAATGGTTCTCTTTGCTGATGATACAAACATTTTTTGCTCTGGTGATGATCTGCATAATTTATTGGAGGATATGACTAATGAAATAAGTAAAGTGAAGTTCTGGCTTGATAAAAACAAATTATCGTTAAATTTGAATAAATCTAAACTGATGTTATTTGGAAATAGTAGTTTAGATACAAATGCTAAGATTCAAATAAATGGTGCTGATATTGAAAGAGTCAGTGAAAATAAATTTCTGGGGGTAATAATAGATGAAAAACTTAACTGGAGAGCTCACGTAAGATATATTCATTCCAAAGTATCACAAAGCATTGCCGTACTAAACAAGGCAAAGCAGGTGTTAGACAGAACATCACTTCATATTCTATACTGTTCACTGGTTTCACCATACTTAAGCTATTGTGCAGAGGTCTGGGGCAACAACTATAAAACCACATTACATTCACTTTTTACTCTTCAAAAACAAAAAAAAAGCAATTCAAATCATCCACAATGCAGGTTATAGGGAACATACAAACTCACTATTTTTGCAGTCTGAAATATTGAAAATTGCCGATCTAGTGAAATTCAAAACAGCACAAATTCTATTCAAAGCAAAAAAAAAAAAAGAACTGCCAGGTAATATTCAGAGTATGTTTTTTTTTGAAAGAAGGAAGCTATAATTTAAGGGGTTTTGTAACTTCAAAACAGGGACGGTACATACTGCAAGAGAAAGCTTTTGTGTTTCTGTTCATTGAGTGAAACTGTGGAACAGTGTGAATATGGAATTAAAGCAATGTCCAAACATAAAACAGTTCAAAAAGAGTTATAAAAATATGATCTTCTCAAACTATAAAGAAAGGGAAAATATTGAAATTAAGTGAATGTCTCTATTTAAAAAAAATCATGTCATATTATAGTATATATTATATCAGCAATCTGTTCACTATTTTTATTATAGATTATATCAGTAAGGAAGCTGACTAAATATTAACTGATAATTTATGGCAAAGGGGTGGGATTAAATAAGTGTGTTCTTCTTCCCACTCCCTTTCAACACGTAAATGAATCAGAACGGTAGCAATATTGAAATGTATTGACTTTTGTATAGTATTTTTTTCTCTCTTATTTTCTTTACTAAATGTACCTGTATATTGTTTACATGTTTGAAATAAATTAACAATCAATCAATCAATCAATAGAGCAGTATTTCACCTTTGAACTGTTTAAGTTTGTACTGAGCGATTGTATTTCCTCATGCACGACTTTTTCTACTAATGTAACAATGGGATCTTGGGTTTTATTTAATTGTTTATTTGTTTGCTTTGTTAGGTCCATCTGTTCACCTGCTAATTAATACAGACATCTAACCAGTCAATCAGATGACAGCAATCCACTTCATTTTGGCATGTGGACATTATTAAAGTGACCTGTTTGAATTCAAACTGAGTATAAAATGTGCCAGAAAGTTGATTTAAAGAATTTGGAATGTTCCATTGTTGTTGGCGCCAGATTGGCTAGTCTGAGTATTTCAGAAAATGATGACCTGCTGGGATTAACCCACATCTGTAAGGTTTCCAGAGAATGGTCCACAGAAGATATCCAGTGAGCAGCCGTTCTGTAGGCGAAAATCCCTTGTTGATACCAGCGGTCGGAGGAGACTACACAGACTGCTTCGAGCTGTCCTCTAACTATCCTGTGAACTGTTTAGAATTATTTGCTGACACTGATTTCTGTTTCTCAGGTGAAGTGCGATGTGAACCTCCCAATAACCGTCTAGACAAGTTCAAAGGGACTCTGACTTTGAATGGAGAAAGATATGCCTTGAACAACGACAAAGTGCTGCTCAGAGGCTGTACTCTCAGGAACACTGAGTGGTGCTTCGGTCTGGTCATCTTTGGAGGTACTCTGTGCACTGCAACTGTGTACAATTTGCAGTTTGAGTGATGTTTTTTTGGTCTAGCCTTTATTGTTTACTCTGATACTGATGTATGAAGTTCTACATAAGAGACTAGAGCAGGAAGGGGATGTGGTTACATCTGCAAAGGTATACAGAAGATAATCTGCCACAGATTCTAGAGTGTGAAGTTCTTAAAACAACAATATCACAGTAATGACATATTTGTGGTGTTTCATTTAGGCCATTCTCCTTCTAAGGCTAACCAGTCTGGAAACATACTGAAAACTGTATCTGCATCACTGTCAGTGTCTCAACATCACATTGAATCTGTGTACAACTTGAGTGATTTTTTTTTGGTCTAGTTTTTATTGTTTACTCTGATAATAATGTTTGAAGTTGTACATAAGAGACTAGAGCAGGAAGGAGATGCAGCGAAGGTGTGCAGAAGAAAATCTGACACTAATAATCCTTTCCAGGTCCTGACACTAAACTGATGCAGAACAGCGGGAAGTCAATATTCAAACGGACAAGCATTGATCACCTGACGAATATCCTGGTGTTATGTGTGAGTTTACACAAGCACAAATACAAAGAAAGTCACACAAAGTCTCAGCTTATAGATATAGAACTTAAAGACAGTGATTTGTTTTTCACCTGAGTGACAAGAGTAATATTGTTTGAATAATCAAGAAGTCTGATGTTTTTATTCCATCAGATCTTTGGTTTCCTGGCATCTATGTGCTCCATTTTGACCATTGGCAATGCAATCTGGGAAACAAATGAGGGCTCTGTGTTCACTATGTTTCTTCCTCGTGAACCGGGCATTGATGCTCCTCTCTCATCATTCCTCATCTTCTGGTCTTATGTCATTGTCCTTAACACAGTGATACCCAGTTCACTTTATGTCAGGTAAGTTTCAGCACAGAAAAATGATTAAACCAAAAAACAACCAAAGTTGGTTTGAACACTTGAGACTTGTGCTAATATGTATCACATTTTGAAATTTTACCAATTTGTGCTACATTGTTAGCGTGGAGTTCATTCGTCTGGGAAACAGCTTCTTCATAAACTGGGACAGGAAGATGTACTATCCTAAGAATGATACTCCAGCTCAGGCAAGAACCACCACACTCAGTGAGGAGCTAGGCCAGATTAAATACATCTTCAGTGACAAGACTGGCACTCTGACACAGAACATCATGACTTTCAACAAGTGCTCCATTAATGGAAAAGCTTACGGTGAGCAGCTTTGCTTGTGTAAAAATTAGTGAGGCAAATGGAAACACATTGGGTGAACAACTGATTTTACAGTACATTTATCATATATTCAGGGGACCTCTATGATTTCTCTGGACAAAGAGTGGAAATTACAGAGGTGAGAGGAAAATACATCCATTGCATTGTTTGTGAACTTTGTTTAAATTACAGAGGTGAGAGGAAAATGCATGATTATTTAAAGAAAGTATTGATCCAACTTTGTTGTTTTGGCTTTTCTTGCAGAGGACAGAGAGAGTGGACTTCTCCTGGAACAATCTGGCTGATCCAAAGTTCAGCTTTCATGACCACAGTCTGGTGGAGATGGTGAGAAGTGGAAACCCTGAGACTCAGGAGTTCTTCCGCTTGTTATCCCTGTGTCACACTGTTATGCCTGAGGAAAAGAAAGAGGGTGAGGGGTCCCCTAAAAGACATCTTCATTTCATTTACATTTCAGGAGAATTTCAAAATATTCTCGGAGTCTATCTAAAAACTCCAAATTCAGTGCAATAAAAGACATACAGGTACATGGAAATGTGCTCCACCATGCAAATGTTCAAATTTTTACCCTTATATGCCAATTAAATTGTCATCTCTGTTTTACCTGGTAGGAGAGCTCAATTATCAGGCTCAGTCACCTGATGAAGGCGCTCTGGTGACTGCTGCAAGAAACTTTGGATTTGTGTTCCTATCACGCACACCAGAAACCATCACAGTAGTAGAGATGGGCAAACAAGTCATCTATGAACTTCTGGCCATTCTGGACTTTAATAATATGAGGAAGAGAATGTCAGTGATAGGTGAGAGGAAGTAGTGATAGGTTTTTTTGTGTCGTTATCTTCAGTGACCACACTTCATATATTCAGAATACATTTCTCATTTCTGCATGCATTACGTCAAACTTTCTAACTTTCCCTGTCACTTCCAGTGCGCAGCCCAGAGGGGAAGCTGACTCTATACTGCAAAGGTGCAGACACCATGATCTTTGAAAGACTGCACCCCTCCTGTAACAAACTGATGGAAGTAACCACTAACCACCTCAATGTGAGTGATCCAAAGCATATAAAAGTAGCTTGAAGCTAAAGTCAATGAAATTTTAATATAATTAATGTAATTTAACATTTGACTTCTTTCAATTATCAAAACAAAAACAGGAGTATGCAGGTGATGGCCTCCGTACACTTGCTCTGGCCTACAAAGACTTAAATGAGGACTACATGATAGATTGGAAACAGCGCCACCATGAGGCCAGTGTTGCCATGGAGGGACGTGAAGAAAAACTTGATGAACTTTATGAAGAGATAGAGAAAGATATGATGGTTAGTACATGTGCTGAAAACTTTGTCAATACGAATTTGCTGCTTGATTATCTATTGGTAGTTATACTTTATACCGGGGATATGAAACTCATTTTACATTACGGCCCACAATATAGCCTAATTTCATGTGAAATTCAGATTGTCCTCTGTCAGTGTTTTACTACACATTTAATCCCTGAGATATCTTCCAATAAGAAAACGAAGTGCAATTTCAACAGTGCGTCTCAGATTTTCTAATATGATGAGAAATGCTTCTGTATTAAATGAAAGAATTTATCAGCATGACTCTTTGGGCTTAAATTGTAAGAAGTAAATATGTAAAGTTACAGAAAAGTTCATTAACCAGACTGTCCTGTAATTATAAAATAGAAAGGTTTTGTTAATTCAGAGGAATTGTTCTAACATTTAATTGTTTACCTATTAATTAATTTACTTGGTGTAGTATGCATATGGCCATGGGGGAGGTCTTTATCAGTAGGAAAAGCTGCAAAAACCTATGAAAATACAAGTGAAAGTCCAAAATTAATTCCATTCTTTACATTTTCCAAAGCTGTCCAGCAGGTCAGGTTAGAGTCTATGCCAGGCCAGTTCTGGCACCCAGGCCTTTATATTTGACACCCCTGGTTTATATTGTACACTAATGTTACAGTGAAACCAGCATAATTTGTGATAAAGGTATAGGATGGCTTCATTGCTTTGCTTTATTTAACATCAGTTTAAATCATAGCTGCATGTGTGGCTTTAGCTGTTGGGAGCGACAGCTGTAGAGGACAAGTTGCAAGACGGTGTGCCGGAGACCATTGAGCAACTGGCTAAAGCGGACATCAAAATATGGGTGTTAACTGGAGATAAGCAAGGTCGGTGGAACTTTTTCTTTTTAAACTATACATTTCAAAGTGGATAAAGACTGCATTATGATGTATAATACATTCTTATGTTCCTGCTCTCATTAATCTACACACAATCTCAGAGCATCAACAGTTTTGGTTGATGGGTTTCCATGGTTTCAAGTCATAGATCTAATATACATATCGACAAATGCTCTGAGAGTCGTTCCAGCTTTGGTTTGCTGCAAGATTGACTTTAAAGATTTCTAGCACCTAGGTGATTGAGAATTATTCTTTTTTTTTTCTTCAACAGAGACAGCAGAGAACATTGGCTATTCCTGTAACATGCTAAGAGAGGAGATGAAGGACGTCTTTGTTGTCTCAGCCAACACTGCTGAAGGTGTCAAAGAGGAGCTACAGTGAGTCAGTTAAAACCAGATGATGATTGTATTCTGCCAATCGGAAGCTGTTTCAGCGTATGAATCAGTGAGATAATTTGTCACTATGAACTTCAATAAACATATAAGACAAATTAACAACTGTTGCTGCCAGATTTCATAACTTGCTATCTCAAGCTAATTCTACCACAACTGAATGAAAAACCTACTGTAAATGAAAAACTAATATTAAACTAGCCAGTTTATCATAGCCATAAGCTAATTCTATCACAAGAAAAAAATCTATAAAAATCATTAATCTGACATTTTAATGTTCCCAAGCATTTGTATGATTAATTGTAACCTGTAACCTCACAAGCTAATGTCTTCCTAAGTGGTATTTGACTACCGCTGTATTAGCCGGACATGTCATTTTTTACGCATTACCTTAGAGATAGCATGAGGAGGGATAGAGAGTAGAGCCACTTCTCAGTCGCATCAAAACAAGCCAGTTGACCTGATTCAGACATCTTAGGATGTCTAAATCTAGCATGCCTTGGAGCAGATGCAGAACATGTTGGAAAACTAACTTATCTCAGTTGGCAGAGGAATGCCTCAGTGTCCCCTTTATTAGCCAGCAGTGTTGGTCAAGTTACTTCAAAAAGGTAATCAGTAACTAATTACTGATTACTTCCCCAAAAAAGTAATCCTGTTACTTTACTGATTACTTATTTTCAAAAGTAATTAATTACTTAGTTACTTTTTAACAACACGATTTACAACCTGAATAGGTGATAAAGCGAACCCAAAATAATAACAAATAACAAATCAGGTCATGTTCTCTGTCATATTTTCAGGAATGCACGAAGAAAAATGTGTCCTGAAGCAGCAGAGGAGCCAACTGTGATTAAATCTCGAGAAGGCCTGTTTTGGCTTAAAAAGACAGAGACTGTGCAGGATGAGAAGGTGGATGGAGATTATGGACTAATAATAAATGGGCACAGTCTGGTAAGAAGGCTTGTTTTCAGCAACCACTGAAAAACCTCTGCAAGTTGACCTGTTTAGTTTAGTTTATTTTGTTTATGTAGCTTCAACAGTAGAGGTCACACTGTGTGATCAGAAAGTACATATTGTTTTTTTTAAAGCCTGATTCTCTTATATTTTTTAAACTTAGAGATGAATGTAGAAATGAATGGAATTCTCTTGAGGTTTTAAGGTTGCACTACAGAATCTTGACAGATGACCTAACTCCATCAATTCTTTCCTTCATCATCAGGCTTTTGCACTGGAGAAGAAGTTGAGGTTGGAGCTGCTGAGGACAGCATGCATGTGTCAGACAGTGATTTGCTGCAGGGTCACTCCTTTGCAGAAGGCCCAAGTGGTTCAGCTGGTCAAGAAATACAAGCAGGCTGTCACTCTTGCTATTGGGGATGGAGCCAATGATGTCAGCATGATAAAGGGTAACCTGTGAAGTCACCAATATACAGAGCTGTATTTTCATTACAACTATCCAGCTGGGAAATATGTAGCTGATATTGTGTATTTTATTGTGTATTTTATTTGCTTCCTTTTCTGCCTGCCAGTTGCTCATATTGGTGTAGGTATCAGTGGGCAGGAAGGCATGCAGGCAGTGCTGTCCAGCGACTATTCCTTTGCCCAGTTCCGTTACCTTCAGCGCCTCCTGCTGGTGCATGGCCGCTGGTCCTACATCCGCATGTGCAAGTTCCTTGGATATTTCTTTTACAAGAACTTCACTTTTACGCTTGTCCAATTCTGGTACGCCTTCTTTTGTGGTTTTTCTGCACAGGTGAGATATATGTATTGTAACTATACTATAATGTAATTTAAGTAGCTTTTGTAATGGGACATAAAGTGTTTATCAATCTCAATGAGAGAAATGCAAAAAAGTTTCAAATGATGCAGGACAAATGAAACAAATAACTTGATTCACATTCACCTTTTCTTTATGTTGTACTTAAATGTTCATTGTGGTTGTTCACAGACTGTTTATGAGGACTGGTTCATCACCTTCTACAATATGGTTTACACAGCTCTTCCAGTCCTTGGCATGTGTCTGTTTGACCAGGTATGTAGATTACAATTAACTATCAGTTTTTGGTTGACTTACATAAACCAGATTATCGTCTCATAGTCAGGTCTCTGTGTCCACTGAGCTTTCTCATCTCTTTCACTAAAACTTGTTTTGTGCAGGATGTAAATGACCGTTGGAGTTTATACCATCCTCAGCTCTACGCTCCAGGCCAGAAGAACCAATACTTCAATAAGAAAGCTTTTGTGAGCTATCTGATTCATGGCTGCTATTGCTCCTTAATCATCTTCTTTATCCCATGGGCTTCCATGAATGATGCAGTCAGAAATGATGGAAAAGACATTGTGAGCCATCCATCTTTTGCTTTATTGGCACAGACTTGTCTGCTTATTGTGGTGCACACACAGGTGAGAACATTTCATTTCATTTATTTATTTATTTCACACTTGGTCAACATTTTCCACAGTTAGTTCTTTCAAACAAACCAACTACACTTTCTGTCAGTAAAGCACTGCAACCACGTGTGAAAAGGAGCAGGCAGAAGAATTTATTCTTATTAAACCCTGCCCCTTATCTACAGTCCAACTTATATTGCAAGTGGTCACCAAAAGTCAAGGAACAAACTAACATTAACACTTATTTCCAGTCCTAACTCAAACCAAACAACAATTTAAAATCAGAATATACCACTCCACATAGTAACAAGGAGAAAAGATAAGTAAATAAAATAAATGAAACAAAAAATAATGGATCCTTATTCAATTAACTCCAATTTCATTCACATTCTTCATATTGAGTTATTGTTTTAGACATGTAGCACTTTTTAAAACAATGTAAATTTATACAACTCTTTAAATTTTAATGAAGAGACTTCCACAGTTGTATACCCCTAACCGTTGGACTCATTAATCTTTGTGTTGTCCTAGCTAGCCGATGCTTAAAATAAAATTTCCTTCTGCTGTCTTCTCCCCCCGAACACGTTAAAAATACTCTTTGTAACTTAGAAGGCAAAATATTACTTTTAGCCTTAAACATAATTAATAGTGTCCGTAGTTTCACTAAATCTCCTAATTTTAATAATTTTGACTTTATAAATAATGTATTTGTATGTTCTCTATATTTAACGTTATGAATCATCCGTATCACTTTCTTCTGTAATAAGTTTATAGGTTTTATAGTATTCTCATATGTATTCCCCCAAACTTCGACACAGTAACTAAAGTATGGAAAAAACAATGAGAAATATAAAATGCGCATTGTTTTGTGGTCTAATGTCCAGCAAAATCGCTGGACATGGTCGTAGGCAAGAAGTGAAGCAGCACATGGCGGGGAGAAGTGAGTGGGAGAGCAGACACAATTTTGGACCGGAGGTTTTCGGGAAGCTTTTATTTTGGTATTTCCGTTGATCCGTACAATAAATTTGCATGGTAGCCTAAATATTTAGTTTTCTGTAACATTTAGATTTAACATTTAACATTCAGATTTAAATATAATATTTAGATTTAACATTTAGATTTAACATTTAACATTTAGATTTAAATATAATATTTAGATTTAATATTTAACATTTACATTTAATATTTAACATTTGATGAAAAGTTATAAATATTTTACTAAATGTTGTAAAAAATTACTCGAAAAAACATGTTTTTGTAAGGTTTTGAGCTAAATGTGGAAAAATGTTGCCGTTAATTTCAGCATGTTTCACTTTACAAACGGCGCCCCATACTTATGCAGTATATTAGTCTGTTGTAACAGATAGACTTCCATTCCATCTCAGCCAGTCATTTTAATTGTGCACCAGGACACTAACAATAAATTAGTAATAGTACAGTACTACTACAGTAGTAGTAGTAGTAGTAGTAATAATAATAATAACAATAATCTTCCACTTTTCAGCTGTCTCTTGACACCTATTACTGGACAGCAGTGAACCATTCTTTTGTGTGGTTAAGCACGATAGGCTACTTTGCCATCTCAGTCACCATGTACAGCAATGGCATGTTTTATGTCTTCCCGTCTTCTTTCCCCTTATTTGGTAAGTACATTTACTGCATTTAGTATAGAGGCCACTTTAATGTTAACTTTTTGAAGTTTTTTTCTATTCTAAAATTTTGGTACTTTAAAGAAGACCTGAGTATGTGACTCATGTGATTGTGTCCTTTTTGGATTTTAGGCGCAGCAAGAAACACTTTGAACCAGCCTAATGTGTGGCTCACCATATTCCTGACGTTCCTCCTCTGTATCCTGCCTGTTGTAGCTTTCCGCTTCATTTTTATACAGCTTTGTCCTACCATTAATGACAAGGTAAAAAAAGAAAAGAAAAAACTAAACTGAACACATAAAGCATCTAAGACTTTCTTGTCTTCTATGCACCTTGTGCACTATAAAGTAGCATGTAATTTAACTGAGTTTGAATCAATGTATCCATAGTAAAAAAAAGTTTGCATAAAAAAACCAAACAAAACAAGCCCATATTTCTTTTTTCTAGGTGAGGTATAAGATGCGTACAGAGGAGTTGACTGCACCTGCACCTCGTCGTCTACTGAGAAGGCGTAGTACTCGATCAGGCTACGCCTTCTCTCACTCCCAGGGCTACGGTGATCTGGTAACATCTAGAAAATTCCTGATAAAACGCCCCCTAAAGATGACAGCTCTGTTCACCCAGACAGACTCTTCCATATTTCAAAATCAGCCACAGCACTACCGCACTATTGCTGAGGAGCCACAGAGTCCTTAGCCTGGTACACAGTACACAGATACTGAAAGACGACATAACTTCATAATTTTCGAGCCAACCTGACACTGAAGACAAACAAAACAGGGTAAATTTAAAATATATGGTGGTTTCCAGAGTCAGCATAAAAACTAATGGTGTCTTACAATGTGTGAATAAGTTTTTATATAAAATGCTGAGTCGTTATAAAAAATAAAAAAATAAAAAAAAAACCCTAAAATTTAAACAGGTTTAACCACGTAAGCCCCACGCCCCCGGTACCGGGGCAAAAAAGAGATCACGTTTAATCGGTTATAACACGGGGTGAGAAATATAAGTCCAGATATGTGTGGACAATCAGACGAAAATTCACTGAATGAGCCGCAAAAGAAGACCACAAAAACACATAGCGGCGAAAATGCACTAAGACACAGATTGGCTTACCATCCCGATTTCCTCCATTATTTTCGCTGGTAGCCGGTAGCCACGTGATTATCAGAAGTTACCACACCTACCTAGCCACATCAGAGCCGTTTTCCGTCAACAACCGCCATTTTAGACCCACCTATAGACACGTGACTGGACAGACACCACATGCAGCAAATTTGGGCCCACGTGGGTTTTGGCATTGCAACGTCTGATTGGTTGAAGTCACGTGAATGTGGCATCGTTACTTTGATTCTATTGGCTAAAACGATTAAAAAGAGGTGTCAATCATGCAAATTGACCAAAAGAAACCAAAGTTACAGCCCCTTGGAGTTTAAAGGGCCAGAGACCAATTAAATGCTTCATGCGCACCGCAGAAAAGGGCCATTACCATGTAAATGTGTGGTTAATTCTTCAAAAATATATTTAAAAGAAAGCATTTTTAGGCCTGTTAATAAAATGTATTAATTTTTGCTCTTTAATACCTAAAAAATTCATGGTGTCCAATTATGTGCCAAAATTGGACATTTTTGTACAACATCTGGATATTCATGTATTGACAGGGCTGTAATTTTTCACTGTTTCACTTTAGAAACATAAGTCTTTGCACAGGTGATCTGAGGCATATTTTTAAAAGGGTTATATCCTAAAAATTAAAATTAAAAATTAGGCGAGGATAAAATATACTTACTTTTTCTGTGTTCCAGTCTCAGTAACCTTGACGCAGTAATATCTGCTTCAATATTTACACCTCTGATGAAATCTCACAAGTGTTAGCTTTATTTTGATACCAAGATTGTAAGGACAGAGTTTGTAATTGCAGAGAAATAATCAATTAAATTTGGGCATTACATTTTCGAGCAGGAAGCTCAGAAACCCCCTTGGGGCTTAAGAGGTTAAAAAAAAAAAAAAAAAAATTATAGTATCCTGCTCTATGCATCAAAGTGCCCCTTGTTGATAGTGTGTGTGTATGGTGAGTGGCTGATCACCTTAGACAACATGGCTTCATACAGTAGTGTAACAATCATTCTGAGAAAAACATACAAAAACGTATACAAAACACACAACTGCAATGAGTTTGTGTGCTGCACACACATTTCTTTTTTCTTTTTTTTTTTTTACTTTTTATTTTGTACTTTTTCCAATTTTATAGTACATGCAAACAAAAACACGAAAAAAACCACACAAAAGAAACAAACCAAAAAAATAAAAAATAAAGAACACCCAATCTGTGGAAGAGGGGAAAAGGGAAAAAACAACAACAAAAAAAAACAACAACAACGAGGAGAGGTCCCTGCTCTATGGGGCTGAGTGAGTCTTTTAAGCTATCCATTTTGTCCACTGTTTTCGGTGTTTGTCAGATTTCAGTCTCAAAGTGTAGGTCATTTTCTCCATTATATATATGTCCTCGATTACATCAGTCCATTCTTCCAATTTTAAAGGGTCACTTTTCAGCTAGTTTTTTGTTATTACCTTTTTGCTTGACAACAACACAATTTTAAACAAGTAATGGTCCTCCTTTCTTACATTTTCCCATATTCCAAAATACATTACTCGTGCCTCACACAGCACAGCACACACATTTCGTTTGCCTTTATTGGTTGCTTTATGTCCTATATGGTGAACTGTAAAGAGCAAAAATGAGAAACTTTGGATTTTGCTTCCAGTTGAAAATCTGTTTTTCCCTTCCCCCCTTCATTTTAACATGTATAGTTGACACACTGTGGTTATTTGCATGAGGATTTTGTGTGTGTGTGTGTGTGCTGTTATTCTTTGTTAATAATAACATTCAGTCCTTCATGAATGTGTGACTTAACCTGATACTACAACATTCACAGTGTTCACAGTGTACAGCCAGTCATTGGTCTTATCTCTGTAACTGTTTTTTTTTTACCTTTTCATAACCCCATCTTTAAAAACAGGAACTAAAGGTGTAAAGAAACACTTCCAAAACAACAAGTCAGTTGTGTATTTTGTCAGTTACAAATCTGGAAAATGTGTCTAAAAAAGGATATATCCATCATTTGTAATCCAGGCTAGCAGATTTCGATTAGGCCTATAGTCATTTACAGCTGTTAATCCATTGGCCCATGCGTCAGGATGGCTTTACCCATTTTCTTCATCAAGTTAAGACTTTGCTCATACTCTGAGTGACAAGTTGCACTTTTTAGTTCCAGTTGATCATCATTAGTCACCTGAGCTGCAATACATTTGTTTATGAAAAACAGAAGCATTGGTGGGGCTGCGATAGTGTATGTGTGAGCTTCCTCTTTGCTGAAACAGTTTGCCAGTAGAGCCCTTCAAAATTTACTTTCTCACCTGGGTGATTTTTTACTGCCTTTATCAATCAAGACCAAAGCATTTTATTTGCTGAAAATGTTCAAGAGGTTGTTACAGTTCCTGACTGTATCTTCAGTGGCTTCAAACAGGACAGAACATTTACCTGTTGTGAATCATCCCTCTGCTCCTGGGGTTTCCAATAAATCAGCTCTACCACCATCTGTCTCACGTGTGGTTTCATCCTCTTTTTTGGGAAGTGTTAGATTATAAAGCTCAGCCTTCTTTCTGATACTTCACATTCTGGTGTTGTAGATCAACACAGTTTGCTTTATGCACTGTATTCACAAGTTTAGACCACATTGGACCAGCTAATGGCCTCTATCAATAAACTGGCCCTTCAGTTTTACTGTCATTACTGCTAATTCTGTATTGTGCTCCAACAGTTACTAAATTCTAATGGGACACAGAGCAGATTGTATCTTTCCTCACAGACTTCCTTTTAATCTTGACAAATAAAATAACTTATCTATGATATGCCTTTCCATTATTTTGAGATCAGACCGGTAAATGTCAGCAAGCTCCATATTTGGTGACAATCAGTATAACGATACATGATTTTTTCATGCTTATGAATGAGTCAAAACGTGACCTGAATTTAATTCAACTGCTCAATTTGAGCATGCGCATCTGGCACGGGGTGTGTTACATGACCGCCCAGGTCGCAACCATAATGCTACCTCTGATTGGCTGAATTTCTTCCCAGTTATTGCTGTTTTACTGCACCTACATCCTACACTGAGTCGCCATCGAGGTCCAAAGATCACTGCACTGTTCAAACAAGCTCTGAGTTGCTAGGTGGAGGGGTATCCCAGCCCAGTTCTTCCTGGATGAACCTGAAATCTCTACTGTAGGCACCTCTCCCACCACTGGGTACCTGGATTGGTACCTAGCGTGGGTTAACTTTGTCAAAGGCGGAAATAAAAGGAAACTTTAAAATCTTAAAAACCTCTTTTTTTCCCCAGCCTGTGCTTGTGTGTGAGCAGGACTTTGAGGACAGAGGAAATCATAATTTTGTTAAGGTATGTGGCTGATTTTCACTTCAGACCGTGGAAGTGTGTTTGATATCCTGAATGTCATTAATAATAATCACAAACAAGCTCACAATTTGAACCCTTGAAGTCTGACCTAGATTTCCGGCCAGGTCAGATTCACAATAGTTTGGACCGATTTAATATTATTGTGAGTGAAGAAATATTAAATGAAACTTAACACAGTTTGTTGGCTTCTTTTTATGCTTGAAGATTCCATAAATGTATTAGGTAGCATTAGAGGTTAGTGTCTAACCTCTGACTCACTTCATTACTGTTAAATTGCTATTGATTTCACTGTCAACATTTCCTATTCTCACTTTTTCTATTCAGAACTTTACTTTGCAAAAAGAAAACATGATGAAAAATACAAACAGTACTTGTATGTTATAATGAACACTTAAGGGTGATGAACAAACCTGGTTGACTGGCACAAACGGTTAAAACAGGAGTGGTTTTATGTCTTTATAGCTTAGTAACACAAAGTCTGGAGAGTGGGTGTACAGTGCAGTGAAATGTATTTGCCTCCTTCTTAATTTTCTTTTTGCACATTTGTCACAGAATAATTTTTTTATGTTAGACTAGGATAACTGAGAATGCAAATGGAGTTTTTAAATGATGATTTTATTTATTAAGGTAAGCTAGCCTATGTTGCAAAAGTAATTGCCCCCTAATCATAACACCAGGTTGTGCCACCCTTGTCAGCAAGAACTGCAATCAAGTATTTGTAATATCTGAGAATGAGTCTTTCACGTGGCTGGGGAGGAATTTTGGCTCACTCTTCTTTACAGAATTGTTTTAATTCATACATATTGGAGGGTTTTTGAGCATTTTGAGTGTGCTTGAACTTCATGGCACAAACTTATGGCTATATTCTCCCTCATTAACATTTTTTTCTAGTAGAATGCAGAACTAATACTTCCATCTGTTACAGCAAGTTGTCCAGGTTCAACAGCCTAGATAACAGCAAAAGCAGCCACAGACCATCATGCTACCACCACAGCAATATGTGACTGTTGGCGTGATGTTCTTTTTATGAAATGCTTTGTTAGTTTTACGCCAGATGTAACAGGATATATTTTTCAAGTAAGTCCACTAAATGTTTTCCCAAAAGTCTTGAAGATTGTCAAGATGTTTTTGGCAGGTTTGGGACAAGTCTTTGTGTTGTTTTTGGTCGGCAATGTTTTTAACCTTGGAGCTCTACCATAGACGCCATTTTTGTCCAGTCTCTTGTTGTTGAATCATGAACATTGACCTTAACTGAAGCAGGTCAGGCCTGCAGTTCTTAAATGTATTTTTCTGGATTTGTCTGTGGCTTCATGCAATCTCTAAGGAATTTTGCTAGGATGCCCACTTCTGGGAAGGGTCATCATTTTAAAAATTGCATTTTGTATTTACTCTGTCTAATTTTCAAATCTTTTTACCCTATATCTATATAGTTCTATTTAGTAGTAATAAATAAAGTATAGATAGATAGATATAGTATGTAGATGATAGTAGTTGTTTACTACCATCATCAGCACTGTTTTGGTGAAAGAATAGTGTCTGTCATCAGTCAGTGGCTACTCAATATATCAACAAAAGAAAAAAAGAAAAATAAGGAATTGAACATATTGCATGTAAAACTTTAAGCTTTTATTAAGCTGTCAGAGCTTTTAAGGTTGGTTTTCTTTCATTTTTTTTTTTTTACAGTGAATCACAATTCTACTTAAACATGGCCTTCCATATATTAACTGATTCCCTCTTGCTTTTGCAAGTTTCTCCTTTCACTTGCTTTTTCGATATATGTAAGCCACAAAGGAACAACTGTTTGCCTAGCTACATAGGTCACTGTCATAAAAACACATGCATGCTTTCCCTAGGTTGTAAAACATGGAAATACTGAGATAAAGATGGGATCTGTAGTGTCACGCTTTAACCGGGTACGTGGAAATGGGAAAAGCGAAGGTAAGCTCTGATGCATGCAGAATTTCTGCTATGCGCTGAATAACTGTTATGTTTATCAGGGTTTTCTTGTTTGAAAATATTCCTGGACTACTGGGTTTTGAAACTTTTGTAAATTTAAGTTTTAAGTATGAATTGGAGTAAACATTTTTTTCAGAGTAGACTTTTTTTTTCTTAGCGCTCCTTTAACTTATTGTAAACTCTCGCCCTCCATATTTTATTTTCACAGAGGAGAGACGTTTAAGAGCTAATGACAGATCTTTCAATTTATCTCATGGCTATGCTGTAAGTATAAAAAAAAATCTTATTATGAATATTCATTAAATACCATGGATATAAGAGACTGTTTGAAAGTCGTACTGAGATCGAAAGCACAGATTGCTACTTCACTGCAACATTTACAGACATACTTAAATGCTGTCAATCACAAATGTATCTTTGAGGGGTTTTTTGGGTTATTTTGGGTTATTTTGTTTTGAAAATTACATACATCTCAGAGACTGATATCTGGAAATTTCCTCTACTTTAGAACAATGCCATCAGGACCTCCAAATACAGCATCTTCACCTTCCTGCCGCTTAATTTATTTGAGCAGTTCAGAAGACTTGCTAATGCCTACTTCCTCTTCCTTCTTATCCTTCAGGTATCTCTACAGAACCATCTCTGCTTATTGTGCAAACATTATAAAATGTCCATAAGTAATGCAATTTAAGTTTATTTAGCTTGCAGATGATCAAGCTAAATGATCATTGTACTAAAATAGTGTATGTGTGTGTGTGCCCACAGTTAATCCCACAAATCTCCTCTTTGTCGTGGTTCACCACAGCCGTCCCTTTGGTTTTTGTGCTGTCAATATCGGCAGTCAAGGATGCCAATGATGACATAGTAAGCAGAAATTATAAAAATTGGAAACAGAATTGAAATCGTATTTAACTAAAAAAGAATCTCACTCAATATTAGGGAAAAGAAAAAATAAGGAACTAAAATCTGATTTGTAAGCAAACAATGTTTTCTCTTGTATCAACTGAGCAGAACAGACACAAATGTGACAGACAAGTGAATAACCGAAAGGTGGACGTCCTCATGGATGGCCAGTAAGTCTTTGGAAACCCAAATGAAAAAAAGAACAACTTTTGTGTGAAGAATTATGCAGTGTTTGGATTCATTTCTGTTTTATGTCTTTGTTCCTTTTCCCAACAGACTAAAAAATGAAAAATGGATGAATGTTCAGGTTGGGGACATAGTCAAACTGGAGAATAATGAGTTTGTCACAGTAAGTTTTGGGAGGCTATAGCAAAGATTTGAAGAAAGTGAAAGCAATTAAATTCAAAAGCTTCAATCTACTGGACCGTACTTATTGCTTTCATTTCTTAGGCAGACCTTCTGTTGCTGTCTAGCAGTGAGCCCCTTAATTTAGTTTATGTGGAAACAGCTGAATTAGATGGGTGAGTGTGGAGTACTGTGCAAAAACCTGTGTATGTTAGCATAATGGCTAATTTCTAACAATGCCTTACATTTCCCTTACCTTTTTCATGTCCTCTTGGTCTCCCCCAGAGAAACCAATCTGAAGGTGAAACAGGCTCTGACTGCAACCGGAGAGTTGGAAGACAACATTGAGGCATTGGCTGCCTTTAATGGTGAGAAGATACAGAAACAGAAACAACAGAAAAAATACTCTTGAATGAAATTTTTACAGTACATTCCTGTAAATAATGTTTTTGAGGCTATGTCTATAAAATCCCAATTTCAAAAAAGTGATGACACTGTGCAAAAATATGCAATGATATGCATTATCACGATGCAACAAAATTCTTCTGCCCTCAGCTGAATGTCTCTATCCAACTTATGCAGAAAGCTAAACATTAAATGGCTTCAGTGAACACTTAGGAGACTGTGTCACATTCTTCAGGGCTTTACTGATTTGCGCCATTTGTAAATTCTTTCATTCTTTTGTAAAACTGTAATAACAGAAATAGAGTGCGGTGTATTTAGTCTCCATACAAATACACAAATGGTACATTCAACATTGTTGTCGTGAGTAAACAGCCACTACACAATCTCAACATCAACAATACACTGGCATCACATGTCTAGAAATACAGCTAACACCATACGCTGGTATGTTTCATGCTAACAGGCTAAACAAAGCACCAACAGCTAGCTTACACTAGTAATGTAACAAACTTTTTAAACACAAAAGAAAGTCATCCCTTCACTGAACAAGGTACTAATAAGTGAGATCAATCAATCAAATTCACCACACTTACCCATTATGTCTTGTCAAGAGTAATAGATGCAGGAATTGTCAGAGACACAGAGAAATGGACCTTCCACTAGATAGCAGGCTTTGCCATGAGAAGATCAGGAAAAAAACACATTTACTGACACGTAGATGCAATTACTTACAGAACAATGACTATGATTTGTCATATAACAAACTTATAACACACCTCAGAAATACCCACGAGACAGAATAAAAACAGATCAAATTTTTAAATTGAGACTTTTTACAATTTCATGAATATTTACTAATATTGGTAGCACTGCATTAAAATCAGGCATGGTTCTGTCAATGAAATTACTGCACAAGCTCAGGAACATTTTCAGAAATTGCTTTTTCTGTGGCCAAATTCAAATGAATTTTCAAGTTATGTTTGAAAAATAAAGCCCCATCTTCTGTATTAAAGAGGAGAGTGCTTGTTCAGCAGCAAATACAATTACTGCATACTGTATCAAGTCGGATAGAGGTACATTAGTGAATGGGAAATTGGCAGCTGCACATCAGGAAAGGCACCACTGAGGATAAAAGGTATAACCAGGTTTTAAAACAACATCCCATCCAGATTGTGTCTTTTTCAAATGATATGCTTTGCATATTTTAGCAGGATGCTAAACCTCATACTGCATGGCTTCAAAGTGGAATAGTTTGAGTGTAGTTTATCTTGCTTACCAGCTCACCTTTTTTTAAATAAATGCTGACTTCTCTACTCTCCTTATTCATTCTTTTATTTCTTTCTTGATACTCTAAATATACTTTTATGAGGAAAGCTATCACTCACAATGTCCTTTAACAGTAACCTACTGTACATAGACTAATAATTACCTGTGCTGTAAAGAAGAAGGGGTGGATCTTTTTGACCAGGCAAATGAATTACAACAGAAATAAAAGGAAGAAATTCAAACTAAAGCAGACATTTTATTCCAGGCTTGCAAGGGCCTTTCCAACCATTGGTGCCCTAGCTAGTATGTCACACTTTTTCCTGCCCTATGAGGCCCATGCAAGTTGCTCCCATCACATTCAAAATGACCCAAAAATTATGTTAGAGAACTTAAAAGATTGACACATTGAATTTGAATTGTATTCTGTGAATGTATTTATTTTGAGTATTTTTTTAATTTCTGCAAACAGCTAGACTTAAGGACGTGGAGCTATATGTGAGCTTATTCCCTTGAAACCTGGGAACTTTAATCCAAAATCTGTTGCTGACACCTCTGTTTCTCAGGTGAAGTGCGATGTGAACCTCCCAACAACCGTCTGGATAAGTTCAAAGGGACCCTGACAATGAACGATGACATCTATGCTTTGGACAATGACAAAATGCTGCTCAGAGGCTGCACTCTCAGGAACACTGAGTGGTGCTTCGGTTTGGTAATTTTTGGAGGTATGCTAGCTCGCTAGTAGTACTGCAGTTGTGTACAGTTTGCAATGGACAAGATTCTTTTTGGATTTAACCTTTATGATTTACTCTGATAATAATGTAAATACACACAGTAAAGTAGAGGATGGATGGGCCTCTTGAGTAAAGTGTGCGAGGGCATCCAAAGGGTGCATGTGTTACACATTAGACTTGTTAAAGTGTCCAGCTTTTGAAAGTGAAATAGCCTAACTATTTATATTCACCTGCATTGTAAAACCAGTTGTAGTGGACCTATATAAAATGCTATTTTCTGTTGTTGTTGTTTTTAGCACAATTTATTAGCTAAATTAGGAATTTAATTTGGAAAGAATTTAACCTCTGAATCTTCCTTCTAACCAATCAGACTATAGAAGAATTATCTTTAATGTGTCGCACTAACTGCCATCTCAGTTACTGTTTTGTCCAGAAATAATTTGTGAGTACATCTATCAATTGGCACATCTCTTTTTGAGGTACAGGTTATTACGGGACTCACAAAAAGTCTTTCTGAGAATCAGCTTCAACCAAATTCACACATTTGTTAGAGGTTTCACAGTTTCTATTATAGAGGTGAGGGTCTCTTCCTTGTACTAAAGTCTACTACAGTGTGTTGTGTAAAAGCAAAAAATCCCTGTATTTCTTTTACTACTTTCTCCTACTACTAAACAGTCTGTAAAACTTCTAAAAACTGTAACTGTCACACCAGTATTGTCACCAGTGTGTCTCAACATGACAACATGAACCTCTACAGGTCCTGACACTAAGCTGATGCAGAACAGCGGAAAGTCAGTATTCAAACGGACCAGCATTGATCACCTGATGAATATCCTTGTATTGTGTGTGAGTTTATAGACACGTACCTTTAACTGTTTTAAAGATGACTCATAATATATATTACGTTCATAAAAACATTAATTACTCACATGCAGATTTGTGATCTCTTTACTCTATCAGATCTTCGGTTTCCTGGGATTTATGTGTGCCATTATGGCCATTTTAAATGCATTCTGGGAAGCAAGCGAGGGCTCTTTGTTCACTGTGTTTCTTCCTCGCGAAGCGGGCATTGATGCTCATCTCTCATCATTCCTCACCTTCTGGTCTTATGTCATCATTCTTAACACAGTGGTACCAATTTCTCTCTACGTCAGGTAAGTTTCAGCACAGAAAACCTTGACAATTGTTTCATGTTTTGACCAACTGACCAATTTTTGCTACAATATTAGCATGGAAGTCATTCGTCTGGGAAACAGCTTCTTCATAAACTGGGACAGGAAGATGTACTATCCTAAGAATGATACTCCAGCTCAGGCAAGAACCACCACACTCAGTGAGGAGCTAGGCCAGATTAAATACATCTTCAGTGACAAGACTGGCACTCTGACACAGAACATCATGACTTTCAACAAGTGCTCCATTAATGGAAAAGCTTACGGTGAGCAGCTTTGCTTGAGTAAAAATTAGTGAGGCAAACGGAAACAAGCATTGGTTGAAAAAGTGATTTTTAAGGTATATTTATCTTCTATTAAGGGGACCTCTATGATTTCTCTGGACAAAGAGTGGAAATTACAGAGGTGAGAGGAAAACAGATGATTACTCTGTTTTTGAACTTTGTTTAAAGAAAGTATTGATCCAACTTTGTTGTTTTGGCTTTTCTTGCAGAGGACAGAGAGAGTGGACTTCTCCTGGAACAATCTGGCTGATCCAAAGTTCAGCTTTCATGACCACAGTCTGGTGGAGATGGTGAGAAGTGGAAACCCTGAGACTCAGGAGTTCTTCCGCTTGTTATCCCTGTGTCACACTGTTATGCCTGAGGAAAAGAAAGAGGGTGAGGGGTCCCCTAAAAGACATCTTTTATTTAATAAAACTCTTTAAAAGCCGTTGATAGCAGAACTGCTTTGCAGCAAATGTCCTGATAATTGAATGTTTTTTTTAATAGAACCTAGTCTTAAATAATACAGAGTGACTGTTTTTCTTTTTTTTTTTAATTGCCACTATCACTATTTAAGGACAATTTCTCCATTATATGTGTAGGGCATATAAAAAAAACAAAACAAAACCCAACAAATTGACTTTTATAGTCCTCAAATGCACAATTTTCACATTTTCACTTACCACTATCGTTTATAATGTTTATGTTGTAGGAGAGCTCAATTATCAGGCTCAGTCACCTGATGAAGGCGCTCTGGTGACTGCTGCAAGAAACTTTGGATTTGTGTTCCGATCACGCACACCAGAAACCATCACAGTCATAGAGATGGGCAAACAAGTCATCTACGAACTTCTGGCTGTTCTGGACTTCAATAATGTGAGGAAGAGGATGTCAGTGATAGGTGAGATAAAGGGGCAGCAAGATGTTTAATTTCTAAAGTTTCTTTTTATCACAGAGAAGATATTTATTAATTTTCTTTAATATTTTATTAATTTTCCGATTAACCTCCTAGGACCTGCCGTCCACATATGTGGACATCACATTTTGGGTTACTTAAACCAAAATACTCAATTCTGCTCTACAAGGGCCTGATATCCACTTACGAGGACATTATACTGCTACTATATAAGCGCTATATAAATCCAATCCATTATTATTATTATTACTGTTCCATCGAAATTTTAAATGAATATCCTCATATGTGGCTCTCATTTTTCTTAGAAACTAAAATTAGGTAAAAAAAAAAAATCTGCTAATTCGTTGTTTTTACATTTATCAGGCCCCAATCAGCCCAAATATCAAAGAGAAATTAAAAATGCATGCCGTGGAAGAGTCCGGGTCTTAGGAGGTTAAAGATCTATTTACATAATATTATAATTAAAAATATAATTTAAAAATATTGTCTCTCCATTCAACTTTTTATTTTATAACCTAGGACCAGCTGCTCAGTACCTACCTGTGATACATTTCTGAATAACATAATTGTAACTTTCCGTGTCATTTACAGTGCGTGGCCCAGAGGGGAAGTTGACTCTATACTGCAAAGGTGCAGACACCATCATCTTGGAAAGATTAGACCCCTCCTGTAACAAACTGATGAAGCTGACCACAAATCACCTCAATGTGAGCGATCCAAAACTTATACCAGCAGCTTGAAGCTAAAGTCAGAAGTATTTTTTTTTTAATTAATTTCATTTATCAAACAAAAATAGGAGTATGCAGGTGATGGCCTCCGTACACTGGCTTTGGCCTACAAGGATTTAGATGAGAGCTACATGAAAGATTGGACACAGCGCCACCATGAGGCCAGCATCGCCATGGAGGAACGTGAAGAAAAACTTGATGAACTTTATGAAGAGATAGAGAAAGATATGATGGTTAGTCCAAAAACCTTTGCCATGTTGCTAGATAGACCGACCACAGTTTGCTGGTTGATTGCCTGTGAGTACTTTGGCAGAAATGATACTTGATTTTCCACTAGAGTTACAGTTAAATGTGCATCTTTAACTATCATTTGCAACAAAAGCAAAGGATGGCTTCATTGCTTTACTTTCTGCAGCATCAGTTTAAATGATAACTACATTTGTGGCTTTAGTTGTTGGGAGCGACAGCTGTGGAGGACAAGTTGCAAGACGGTGTGCCACAGACCATTGAGCAACTGGCTAAAGCTGACATCAAAATCTGGGTGTTAACTGGAGATAAGCAAGGTCAGTGTCAACATACTGTGTAATCTATTTAAACCACTCATTTCAAAATGGATAAATAATACTGCCATATGATATACAGTTAGAAACATGTATTACACCAAAGTGACTGAGATTTTTTTTTGAAACAGAGACAGCAGAGAACATTGGCTATTCCTGTAACATGCTAAGAGAGGAGATGAAGGATGTCTTCTTTGTTTCAGCAAACACTGCTGAAGGAGTCAAAGAGGAGCTACAGTGAGTCTATTAGAAATTTAAACATACTTAAAATAACTAAGAAAGTTATGACCATTATTTAATTATGAACAAACTGACACATATTTTAAGCTTTTTGTTACCGTGCTTTCAAATAAACAGCCCATAAAATAATAGAAACTGTCATCTTATTTTTTAACTAACTATCATAAGCTAATTCTAACATAAAAAAAATAAGTTACATAAAAATCTGACTTAGGATAAAAATAATAGTAATGAAGAAAAAGAAGAAGATGGGTTAAGAGTTGTAAGACTTTAAGGTTTTTTAAAATATATTTAAAATAGTTTATTCTGTCCAAATATTTTCAGGAATGCTCGAAGGAAAATGTGTCCAGAAGCAGCAGAGGAGCCATCTGTGACTACATCCCGCGGAGGCCTGTTTTGGGTTGAGAAAATGGAGACTGTGCAGGATGAGAAGGTGGATGGAGAATATGGCCTAATTATAAATGGGCACAGTTTGGTAAGAAGCTGCTGAAGCCACAAGAATTGTTTCTTGTGTTGTTCCTTCTCACTTGTGCTTCCATGTATTAATCACCCAATGTTATGTTTGAAATAGATTTTATATGTGTATAGAAGGTGCTTAACTTGAGGTATGACTTATTCTGGTTGTGATATAAGCTGCCACCTGTCTGCACATGGACCGCTCAAGTATGTGATTCTGTTGAGAAATTGCTCTCCGTGCCTGGATGAGTGCAGCCTGCAGCTGAGCAGCGATCATCGGTTGTGGCTGCCTCTGATAAACACATCCAATAGCATGTTAGAGGCAAGTTTAATAGGAGACATATCAGGACAAAATGCTGGCCAAAAAATTGTCTGGTTATGCTCCTGATCCTGAACAGGTTGTGATACACTGGCTGAGTTGTGGCGGGGGTAGTCCTGTAAAGTCAGCCACAAACAGGATGCTGCTGCTAGAATGACACAAGCTCAGAATTACTTCATCCTGGTACTTCTACTTGGTACTTCAGCTTGCCAGTAGTATAACCTTAGTCAGATTTAGCCAGTCGCAGCACGACAAACGTGTTACATTCACTGTTTTGTGTGTGTGTGTGTGCTCTGAGACCAGTAGTTTAAGAATGCAGTAAACTGCACCAATTCTGAAGTGTGCAAGTAATTAAAACGAGTCATCCAGATCTGAAACCTACCTACTCACAGAATTTTTTTTAAGTGATTAAAATGAGAAATTTCCAGAATGTTAATTTAAATGTAACTGGCATTAAACATATACACTTTGGAATTTAATATTTTTATACTACAATGATTATTCAAATTTACCTGCCTTAAGAGACTTTCTTTTTGGTGTCCATTTTGAGGTGATAAGGTTGTGCCAGGGAGGCTTGGCAGATGACCTCATTGCACTACTGTAATCCCTTCTTCTCTTCATCATCAGGCTTTTGCACTGGAGAAGAACTTGAGGTTGGAGCTGCTGAGGACAGCATGCATGTGTCAGACAGTGATTTGCTGCAGGGTCACTCCTTTGCAAAAGGCCCAAGTGGTTCAGCTGGTCAAGAAATACAAGCAGGCTGTCACTCTTGCTATTGGGGATGGAGCCAATGATGTCAGCATGATAAAGGGTAACTGTATTTTTGCTACAACTAACCAGCTGGGAAATATGTAGCTACTGTTATTGATCCTGGCCGTTTTATTTCTTCCTTTTCTGTGTGTCAGCTGCTCATATTGGTGTAGGTATCAGTGGACAGGAAGGCATGCAGGCAGTGCTGTCCAGCGACTTTTCCTTTGCACAGTTCCGTTACCTTCAGCGCCTCCTGCTGGTGCATGGTCGCTGGTCCTACATCCGCATGTGCAAGTTCCTTGGATATTTCTTTTACAAGAACTTCACTTTTACCCTTATGCATTTCTGGTACGCCTTCTTTTGTGGTTTCTCAGCACAGGTGAGACATATGCATTGTAAATGTATAGTGAAATGTAAATGTTTATATGCAGTTTGAGAAAACAGAAGGAAATATAGTAAGGAAGAAAAATGAGCAAAATAACAAAAAGGCCAGACAGCCAGACTGCAGAAAAACATGGATATACCGGTCAGTTGCTGATTGGCTGCTGAAGCCCTGTTTTGGACAGGTTAGAGTGCTCAGTTATCGGTTTATGCTAGCATCTTGTTTAGCAAGCTGCATTCATGGACTGTATAGCTGCATTGCACAGACACAGCAAATCATTTATCCGACTATAATTTAAATGGGTGATTATTATCACAACTCAGGCTATCCTGAATGGTTGCCATGAAGGAGGATGCAGGCTGTAAACACCATGCTGTAATGCATTTTAATAAGGTACACTATGGGAATTTACTTTTTTGACCCAGCTTCAAGGATCTACAGTTTTTGGCCCTTTGTTGCATTGGCTTTCTTTTCAGCCTTAGAAGTTTTCCATTTGCATATAATATAAACTTACCCAAAACAACACAAAAACAAAGAAATAGAGAGAATTTTAAATAAATAAACGTAGAGCTGAAACTAAACTTTTCACAAGCAAAAAGCAAAACTCTGTAGTCAGTCATGGTGTGTTAATTATTTATCTAAACACTGTTGTAGTTTTTGTGCTGGGAGATCTTTTTTTAATGATTTATCTCTATCTCAGACTGAAAACCAGTTCCTCACCAACAATTCCAGGACAAATGTATATAAGTAAATTCATATAATTTCTTTAATGCTACATTCATGCATATTCTGGTTATCTACAGACTGTGTATGACGAGTGGTTCATCACCTTCTACAACACAATTTACACAGCTCTTCCTGTCCTTGGCTTGAGCCTCTTTGAACAGGTATGTGTAGCCAGCATAGACTGGTAGGTCTAAATATCCCACCTGAAAGTTCTTTCACGTACAAGGACGAGGGGAGCAAGTAAATCAGTTCTCAGGGCGCAGAGACTGAGCAGGTCTTAAATACACCATTTATTCATAAATATACACTATTTCAAAAAAATTATTCAACATTTCTCACACACTGAGGTGCACCTCTGCCCTGCTGTCGATTACACACGTCGCCTCCCAATATCGTTCTTCTTGCTGTTGGGACTGGGTCGCTGTGTTACGCTGGCTGGTCCGTCGCTAATGTCCCGTCGCACCCCACGATCAGGCAGGCGCTGGCTTGCATGTGTTTCTTCCTTCCTCCTCTCTGAGCTCACCCTCTCCTCTAACAAGTTTGTTTGGTGGCTAATATCCCGCCTCAGGGCACGCCCACACTTCAACAATTGCCTGCTATTGTCCGCCCAGTCAACAGTGGATTAAAAGGATATCATGCAACAACACTAAAACATGCAATATAAATATCAGGGTAAAACCATTCAAATAAACTCAGTACTCTATGCACCAATACACACTATGATCAAAACAACATAAACCATTAAACAAACACAAATTTCCACTGTGTGACATATGCAGCAGAAAATTATTCACAATGTTTAGTTTTTTTTTTTAATGTCATATCCCAGTGCCTGCATAAACCAGGCTTTCTCATCTCTTCCTTTAAACCCTGTTTTCTGCAGGATGTAAATGATCGCTGGAGTTTACAGCACCCTCAGCTCTACACTCCAGGCCAGAAGAACCAATACTTCAATAAGAAAGCTTTTGTGAGGTGTGTGATGCACAGCTGCTACAGTTCCTTGATCCTCTTCTTTATTCCCTGGGCTTCCATGCATGACACAGTCAGAGATGACGGAAAAGACATTGCCGACTATCAGTCGTTTGCTTTACTGGCACAGACCTGCCTGCTTATAGTGGTGTTTGCACAGGTAAGAAATACAACTCTTGTTGTCAGAAGCATTATAGCACGCTTGGCAATGACATATTAGCCTTGGAATAAAAGAAAATGACAGCGACGTCGCAACACTGTTCGTCCTCTGTTTCTGTAATATTTTGCACTACAAATCAGTGAACAGCTTTTTAGATGTGTAAACATATATTTGTGGGATTGCCTTTTTAATTTATATATGTATGTATCCCATACCACAGTATAAAATTATACTCATCTCAGTCACTGAACACATTTAAAAACAATCATTTTTTTCAGCTGTTTCTTGACACCTATTACTGGACAGCAATAAACCAATTATTTGTGTGGGCAAGTATTGCGGTCTACTTTGCCATCACTTTCACCATGTACAGCAGCGGCATGTTTTTGATCTTCACGTCTGCTTTCCCCTTCACTGGTAAGTAGATCTGCCATGGAGGCTGCTTGCTGTGGTCCACTTGATTTTTGAGAAATTAAACCATATCAAGTTATTTGGCTGATTGATACAGTGTAAATAGGTCAGCGTTTCCACGTATTCCATTTTTTTGTGGATTTAGTGTTTATCGCTTACATATGCACATTATAATGCTGTAACTTACAACAATTCTTTTACTTTGTTTTTAATTGCTGGTCCAATATTTGTTTGGATTCCAGGCACAGCAAGAAACTCTTTGAACCAGCCTAACGTATGGCTCACCATATTCCTGAGTTCGCTCCTCTGTGTCCTGCCTGTGGTAGCATTTCGTTTCATTCTCATACAGCTTCGTCCTACCATCAATGACGAGGTGAGAAAAATATTAGATAGACATTAAAGCCATCTTGTCTTTTAGGCATCTTATGTGTAGGAGTTGGTGGACCGTAAATAACGATGTGAACTGATGTAATGTTGTGCAAAAAACTAAATAAATATTAAAGTCATCTAACTTGTTTCTTTCTAGGTGAGAGCTAAGGCGCGAAAAGAGGCATTGCCAGCACCTGCTCCTCGTCGCACACTGAAAAAGCGCATCACCAGGCGGTCAGGCTATGCTTTCTCACACTCTCAGGGCTACGGTGCTCTGGTAATGTCTCAAAAATTCCTGCTGAAAGGACACATGAGAAGACTAGCTCTGTTTGACCACAGAGATTCTCCCATGGTTCAAAATCAGCCACAGCACTATCGCACTATTACTGAGGAGTCAGAGTCACAGAGCCCATAGCCTGGAAGTTTGCAGGGACTGAAGCACTTCATATATATATATATCATAATTCTGAAGCTGAATCAACAGTCATGAGAGGATACACAGGGTAAATTCTGCTTTCCAGGTCAAACTTTTACACTTAAAACCGAGTCAGTATAAAAAAATCATGGTGTTTTACAGTACTGTGCAAAAATCTTGCATCAATCCTCAAAATGGGAACTAGGTGTGTTGTGGCCATTTTTGTTGAATGTTTATAAAATGCAATTTGTATTCATTTTTGTTTTTTCTTTAAAGGTGTAAGAATATTCTGACCTGGTTTTGTTATGTAAATTTGTAATTAATTTTATTGGAGAAGCTTTTTGGAAAGTGATTGGTTTATTAGCTTATGGACCCTCCCATTAATCAAGAGATTAAGAGCACCCTGGATGGGTGTGGTAAAGAGGTTTTTCGTTTTTTGTTTGCCAAATGTCAGATGGGAAGACGGGAGGGTTAGAAAATGATTTTTTGACCACTTTTGAAGTTGTTAAAGCAAATTAAGTTAACTTTCGTTTAATTTTAAGTTTTAAGAAGTTATTTGGCTGATTTTTGTTTATAATTTTCCACGAAATAAACGGCATATGATTTTTAAGCAATGGAGTCAGAAGTGCGTTCTAAAACAAACCTCCCGTTGCCACCCACGGCCTTTTCTTGGACTTTTTTGGTGTTTGGAACGTAAAAGGCCGCGACAAGGTGCAACAGTTTTTTTTTAAACTTAAACACAAATACATGGAAATACACTCTATACAGCAAAGGGTTTGTACACTTCTAACAAGCTTGAAAGTCAATATCTGTATGACCACCTTTATTCTTCAGCATTGCCTTAGCTCTCTTAACCAAGCCTTCTTGTAGTTAAGTCATCTTCAGGAATAGTTCTCCAATCTGGACATTCAAAGCTCTTCTTCTCCATCAAGATGATCTCACACTGTCTAGGTCTGTGCTCCAATCTATGATTGGTTTTGTTGTTGTTGTTGTTTTTGATACTCTGACAGTGTGTTTCACATCATTTTCATACTGGAAATGGTGGCTCAAAATGTGACGGTACTTTTCTATGTTCATAATTACATAAATTGTCAAAGGTTCCCACTGGCACTGGTTAAAATCTATCCTCAAACCATCACAGAGCATCTACTGTGTTTTACAGATGGCTGTAGACCTCTTTACTGATTCCACTGTGCATATTGATGACATTTAGTGATACTGATACTGATTTCATTTGGATTCATTAATCCATAAAACCTGTTGTCACTTACTAAATTGAGTAGTTTGGCATAGATTAGCCTTTTCCCACCTGTTTTCCTTTCTTAACAAAGGCTGCTTGAGAGCCAATCTTACACTGAGATCATTTCTGATTAACCTTTAGTGAACAGTGGATGGATCACCTGAAGAGCCTGAGGTCAGGTCTTTGGTGGGTTTTCTCCCTTATTTCTTAAGTTCAGGATTTTCAGGTACTGTTCATGTGTCGTAGATAGTTGGTTGACCTGTCACTTCTTTAGTCCACCATTTGTCCAGGTTCATTCAGTTAGGTTTATTTAAAAAAAAAAAAATCATTGGTCAGTGTTAACTGGCAAACAAAATGAACAAAAATATTCGTCTGAAAATTGTCAGGCACAAGGACAGGACTGAATGGGTGAAAAAGCAAAGAAAAACTTTGAAAGAGCATCAGAAAGCCTGGGGAATTATTGCTCAAAACATTTCAAATTTATTTTTTTTAAAATTAAGAATCATATGGTATGATTGATTTAAAGGTCTTAATTGAGCCAATGTTGGTTTGGTAAAAAGGCTTTGTTTGATCTGTTAAAAATATGTTAATATTAACCTGAAATTAGTTAAAAGAGACAGAAAAATGTGACATTCTTCTTGGTTTCTGTCCTACGTTGTTTTCTTTTTGTTTATTTTAAAATGTTGAACTTGCCACCAGCTGAACTGAAACAACTGGATTATTATACTAATCTTTACTGCATGTTTTTTCTCAGGTGAAATGTCACATGTTAATCTGAACAATTATCAATTGGTGATTTAATTTGAATTGAAGTCTATTATACTGTTTTCTTTTTAGTTATAATAAATTTTTACATAAAGATATTTGAACATTGTTTTATTGTTCTTTTCCTTATTATCTATTTGTTCATTTAACATTTGGTTCTTGATTGTTTAGGCACTAGCTTAAGCTCAGCATCTTCCAATTACAGCCAGGGGTCAGTGTCGTCTCTGTAACTGTGTGGTCACATTTTCACAACATTCGAAATAGAGCCTGCAAAGGCTGAAGTGTCATACTGGGGAAAGATCAGGGGTCACCAGGCAACACATTTGAATTATAAAATCGACAAATTTTGTTGCCTGTGACTGAATTTCTCTCTTCAGTAAAAGTTTTTGTGACATGGGAGGAAAGATGGGAAGAAGCAAAAATACACACTCGTGCAGTTTTGTCTGTCAGAATGAAGTGACACCTTAAAGGCTGTTTAAATATACAAGTACTGTAGATTTATTGAAACATGCATGCAATAAAACTATATACACACACAGTTATTGTATCAGAGAACAGAATTGTCAGGATTTGCAAGAGGCCCAAAAATGTGCCAATTTAAAAAACAAATTCATAACCTGACCTTGTTTACGAAGCACAGATTCACACAGATTCTTTTGCAATATGTGTGCAGCTGTGTGTATTGTCCCTGTTATGACCCGGCTCAAAAGCCGCAACATAAAAAAAAGGAGATGAATAACAGAGTGTGGGTGAGAAGAGGTTTCATCCTAAAATGGAAAACCAGGTTGGCTAAAATGGCTGGTGCCACCAAGGCAAAGACTAGTGCACTGCCGGAAAGCTTGCCTCAGGTATGCTTTTATCCACACCTGACTAGGTGTGGCCAATTAGCACCAGCTGAAAACACTGAGACGATTAAAAGCTGCAGAGGGACGTAACACCTCCCTTAAAAGGGTTCCTTTAGGACCCTTAAATTTATTAAAAGCCCCTCTGAAGCCTTCAGTTCCTTGACCCACAAACCTGGAATAAAAGTTAAAGCTAACAGAAGCACAGTGTTCACGTTATAGTTGGCATCTCTAAGCATGGATGGGCATGAGGATTTGAAGTTGCCACACTGAACAGACAAAAAGTAACATGTGACCAACACAAAGGAGCACAACAGTCAAACCCAAAATGATTACCTGATCTGCTACAACACAAAACCAAAAGTAGCAACAAATAATCACAACTAAGTGATCTGTTGTCTCCACCACACAAACAGTCACATACAAGTGGCCCTATACCACAACAAGTTACTTTAATCCAAAAAGTTCAGTAAATCAAGCGTACTAGTGACCAACCACAAAATGGAGAGCTATGGCCACACAATGATCACATCAAGGGTGGCTCAGCAGCCCACAGTGTTATTGCCATCACCTGGCCAACAACACTCACAAAAGTGATCCAACAAAATAGCCATATTCCCCACAACACTAAAGGTCACAGCACAAAACACTCACCTCACAAGGATCTCATTAGCATCCATCCACACTGACATATGCACACACAGGGTGTGCACACAATGCAAACTTAAAAACAGCCTACCTGCCTCAGCTACAGACCATAATCAAGAATGGTCTCAAACCTCCTACCAAGTTTGGTGCCACTGATTTTCTATGTGCAACTCCCAGCCTAAAACACTAAAAACAACAAAACCCTTACTTTTCCTACCCTAGTCTTCAGTGGTGTACCAGGCTCGAGGCAACTTTAAACACGAACTCGAGAGCAGGCAGCAGACCAGAGATATAGTCTCCTACCAAACTCTGAAGCGTACCCCCACCCAGGATAACCACCAAAAACAATAAACTAAAACAATAAAGCAAAACAACAAACAAGTGCTTCGATGGAAGGGCAGCACAGCCACCCAGCTGAAACACACTAACTAAAGGGAGTTTGCACAATTACAGTGACCACCATCACTCACCCACTTAAAAGCAAAACAAACTGACATTCAGTCTCCACTAAAATGTCCAAATATCCCGGACGAGCCCCCACTTATGTTACGACCCGGCTCAAAAGCCGCAACATAAAAAAAAGGAGATGAATAACAGAGTGTGGGTGAGAAGAGGTTTCATCCTAAAATGGAAAACCAGGTTGGCTAAAATGGCTGGTGCCACCAAGGCAAAGACTAGTGCACTGCCGGAAAGCTTGCCTCAGGTATGCTTTTATCCACACCTGACTAGGTGTGGCCAATTAGCACCAGCTGAAAACACTGAGACGATTAAAAGCTGCAGAGGGACGTAACATCCCTCACAATCACGTATTTCACTAACACAGCTGCATTCATCTCACAACTGCAGTGTCCTCTGAGACGGCGAGCAACGACCTCACTGACAGAGGGCTGTTCCAGTGTGGCACAGATCCAGAAGAGCTTTTAGTTGGCTTATAAAGAAACAGGTCAGTTTGTACTGCCTGGGGCTTTATGGAGCAGTGCATTTCTTTTTAAACATAGAAACCGAGGGACTGCATAGAAGACCAAAAATAAGTAGACAAGAAACATGTAGGCCAATAAAATAATTATTAAAGCCACTGAGTGAAGACATGACGAATAAATTAAAATCTTTTGAAAGTCTCCATGTTAAATTGTATTTTAACACTGGAAATCAGTTTGTATTACACTGATAAAACTCTGCTCATGTAGCTTCCTTCCTTTCCACTTTAACCCACAGTGACTGCTCCTCCTTTCGTGGCCATGCAGCGCAGCCAGCATGCTTGACAGTCCAGTGAAGGTCATCGGAGGATCTCACTGTACAGAGCAGGGAGAAGCTCTTGCATGTTATATTATTAATAGCCTGCATGTATGGCACACCCTAACTATGACATGGCATTATGACTATTAACTTGGTCATTCTTACATTTTGGAATAACTTAGAAATTGACCCTTCATCCCATATCTTTAAATAATCACGTAAGAATAATAAAAAACAGTAGTAAAGCATCAAAAGAAGCAGGGTAAATCCTTTACCCCATTAATATTTATTGAGCCAGACATAGCCAACAGTGCTGGTTTAAAATGGTCTAAAATGGAGGAAAGAAAAGAAAGTGGAGTGAAGGGAAAATACATACATTCAAAGAATTTGTTAAAAACAGTGAGTTATAAAAACAGAACAGACACCTGCATACAACCCCCCCCCCCCCCCCCCCCCCCCGTCTTACTGGTTGGCTTCTGTAAGAAGAGACAGTCTGAAATTCAAGAGAAAGAATTTCACACTTGGCAGTCCAACTTGAACTAAGAATTGTTATGTGGTAGAGCCAAGGAGACAGTGCTCTGGTTTATGTTAAGAACAACTTTTAA